AAAGGCCAATAAACAAATCGTTTCACTTTTTTCCAATGAAGTTGACTCATCATCCTATCATTCATTTTTATTTTCCGGTTGACCCAATCGCCAAACAATGAAGGCCTAGTTCCCTAAATCTGACTCAATCCGAAACTATGACAACCGATCCTTGTTGATATGTAATGGAGACCAAATGTACATTTAGGCTAAACGTATAAGGTACAGATGAACAGCTATTGTATCGTGTGAAGTAAACGGTGTTGAAACGTTCGTGAGAAATGTTCGGTTGCCATGGATACCGTCAGGCTAGACCACCTGAAAGTTAAGCAATATTACCAACATGAACTTATACGTAGTGTACTAGACTGAAATATAAAGTTTAATGTTGTGTTCGTTTATGTTCTTTGGAGTTTGGTTTAGGAGGCATTTAACTCGGCCCCAGAAACAAACTTGAAATTAAAAAGATATATATAGTATCCATTGCAGGTTTCAATCAAACCATGTTTGGAGAAAATTTCAATTGATTTACGTAACGAATCTGAGAATGTCACATATTACTATGCTTTCCGCGATAAAGATAGCATTCATTGTCCACGGCGATGTATCTTTCCCGCCTTAAATATAGATTGAACTCTTCTTCTGTTGAAGGGGAGAAAGTATACGGAAGTTACCGTCGCAGTTAAAGAGCGCAAGGCGACTTGACCGTCGCCGTCGGATGAGCTGTGTTTTTTCTAAATATTTTATGCCTAACTGGTAGGGTTCTACAAATAATTTGTATATTGTATAGGGGATAGATGTTTTATGGAAGTAAATAGTGTATTTCACATGCGTGGTGAAATGTTGATGTTTCCTGCTATTTTTAGAACATCCGATTCCTGTGATTTTATGACTATTTCTTACCGTTCAATAGATAGTAAAAAAGGACATGTCACAGTTGTTTGAATGAGACTACAAGGGGATTTTAGCGTCGTTGTGTGTTACAATGTTTCTGTGGTAGGTTTGTGGTGGCCTCTTAAGCGACCAACATGTTGTAAAATGACTGAACACATGATCCTGTGTCTATCTGGCCATAGATGACAACACTAAGACATAAGAGATAATAACTTGACACATTTATTTCTGAAGAACTTTATTTTTGTCTTTGCTGATTTCAAATAAAGAATGTTCAATGTATGTGGATACATACTATGAAGTGTGGAAAACAGAAACTGTTTAGATGATGAAGTTTTTCATTCAGACTTTTCTGAGTGAGAATGAGTTGGTGCTGAAACACGGAAACATGTTTTAAATACTTATGTCAAAGTGGAGAGAGATAATAATAATAATAATAATAATAATAATAGTTTTATTTATTGTCGGTATTAAAAACAATACAAACATTAGCTCTTTTGAGCTATTTCATCCGACACATGCATACAGTTACACATTAAATACACAATGACATAATAGATAAGATATAAGTATAGAACTACTCGGATAAAAAACTAATATTTAGCAGGTGATATATTAAAATATAGTATTGTTAAAATGTGTCTGATTATATAGGTGTTCTATGTGTGTCTGTAATCATGTGTGCATGTGTTGCATTTACATTTTGGCCCATACCAGCTGTTTTAGTGTCTTAAATTGTGTAAGTGTGGTTGTTGTTCTGAAATGGTCTGGTTAGGTGCTTCTGATCTAAATGTTTGCCGTATTTTGTGGTCCTAACCTGTGGTATTTCCGCTGTATTATGGTATCTAAATGTATATGATTTTTCTGTTATGTTTATGAGGTCATGCAGATATGTTGGTGTTTGATTGTTGCTAATTTTGAAAACTTCTATTGCAAAATTTCGAAGGCGCCAAATTTTGAGAGAGGGTAATTTTGAACAGGCTAATGAATTTTCGTATGTATTTTCGTGGTCGTCATAGATGAATTTCAGAGCCCTTTCTTGAATTTTGTCCATTTTTCGTGTATTAGTTTCACCACAGAAGTGCCATGTAAGTGGGCAGAAATTAAAGTTCGAAAGAATGATATATAGTGAGTCTGCCCAGTCTGTTTAAGTGTTTTCCTGTGCGTTTGAGGTGTTTGCTTGTATGGAAACTTCATAAGACTCCTGTATTGTTACCAGTATTTTTTGTCATGAATATGAATGCTATTTCCATTGACAAACATTTAAGTGAGCCAAACCTTTAGAAATAATTCTACTTAGTGATTATGACTTGCTGTGATAGCAATACCATATGCACTTAGTTTTTCACTGTAAAATGATGTGTGAAAAAAAAAATCAAGACACCTCTTGGTCAGGTCTGCCAACCATGATAGTTTTATTACTGGCCCTATAGATGGCAGATTTTCATTTATTTTTTAAATATATCTCTTCCCCACACAGGTCTGATTTTTTTGTCCATGATCACAAGTGAAGGTGACTACCATTTTGATTAAACACTGCAGGTTCTACCTCTCATATTGCGGAAATGTAAAGTTTTATTCATGCAATTTAGAAAATCTTCCATGAACATCCATTATTAACTGTTATAATACATTGTTCTTATCTTGTAAATACTTTAATATTAAGCATTTGACAAGCAACCATAATAAAAAGGATAAGTGAGAGTAGAATACACATTTCCTTCCAATTTTGTAATACGATAATTGATGTTGGCATATCAATATCGATCATATTCGATAATCAGGACATCACTAGGTGAAGGGCTACCATGTTATATTCAAATGAATGACCTTGACCTGCTTTTAAGATCAAAGATGTCAAATGTGTTACAACTTCTTCTTAAGAACCAAATGCCCTGGGTACTGATACTTGTTCTGTAGCATGCTGGGATAAAGTGCTACCAAACTTGTTCAAATTATTGACCTTGACCCACTTTCTATGTCACAGAGGTCAAAATGGTTAAAACTTAAATTCTCATCTTTTCAACAAGAGTGGAAAAGTATGCTTTTAAGTTTTAAAAAAATGACTTTCAGAATAGGTAAGTCGTTCTAACCCATTGCGTCTTTTGCTTGTTATCATTATCATATTTTTTCTCCTTCAGTAATGAGTACAAAAATTAATTTACATATATTAAATTGCTTTTAGAAAATAAATCTTAATTGATACGGACAGTTGAATATTCATCTCAACAAAATCTGATCATTGCTCTTTGTCTTATTCAAAGACATCTGCTGTATATTATAATGGTGTCTATAATTTATGTTCAACTAGCCCTTGGTCAATATTTGACCACTACTGTTGATATGATATCAGAGCTTTGTCCTAGACATCTAAATTATGTGCCTCAGGTAGGAATGATGGGCTTAAACTTCTTATCAACAAAGAGATAAAATACCCTCTTCTACCTGGTGTTATCTCATTGATCATGCTGTAGTAAATACCCACAATATTGGTGGATTCTATTTCACCACATTTGAATTTTGTGATTTTTAAAATTTGGAAATATTAATACCTATTGACAAAATGCATGAAAAGAACTTTTTGTCCTACATATGCTACCTTTTGGTGCTTTTCTTTAGTAAACTTTCAATAACCGTGGGTTTTCCCCAGGTACTCCGGTTTCCTCCCACAATAAGACCCCTCGTGCCCTTACATCCGGGCCATCAAGAGTGATAAGTATAAGTTGAAATACCTTGTTTCACAATCGTTGCTAAGATAAGATTTATAGTTTTTATAGTAACATTTTTAAAGAAGTAGACTATATGCTATTGTACTCTTTAAGCAGACTGAAGATTCAATCTCTAAAACAACATCTTAATATCCAATTTCAATTAATTTATAAGCTTATTTTATTTTTGCACTAAAACTAATATAAGAAAACTTTGAATATATGAAGCAGCATGATAAAGCCTCGGAGATAGTAATGAAACTAGTAGACAGGTTAAACGCCCACTCACTAACAATGTATATGTTGTGAGTGATTTCATCTTCATATAAACTGTTTAGTCTTTGATTACCCTGCATAACTTGTGGTATCCATACAGCAAAGTAATCCATTCATTTCCCTTTATTTACACCTGGCAATGGCCCCTTCCTGACGAAGTTTCTTAAAGGAATCAAGTGCATATATTTTATACATTAATCATTATTGAATTACGTGTTTATTACATCAATTAAACAGAGTTTATTCAAGTTATTGACAAAGAAAAATAATTTTTCAGACTGAGATGGAAGGGAAAGTAAATGGCCAGAAGCCGTCATTAATTCTGTCTTTTATCTGATAAGTTAAAAACTTAGATAATTTCAATTTCTGTTTTCTATTACATAACTTAATATATATGTACCAATGTGTTGTTGATCCAACTTCAACTTATTCCTTTATTGACAAACTTTATTTTATTCCATCAAAATTATGGTGACATTTACCACATCAAAACTCTGTCTTTATTGATCAAGCAATAAACAGAGGGGAGATAACTGCTGATGTATTAGTTTTAATTACCTGTACACAAGACCTTACCTGGTGTGTTTACACCTGTCTGTTTATTATGGTTAATCAGATACTACCTGTACAGTATCAAAGGTTGACTGGCCTTTAAAGACAATGCAGACGTTTGCTTTACAGAAATTGGTGAGGAATAAAACTCAGTCTGTTGTGATCATCCCCTTTATGTCACACAAATCCCTTTAAGGGCTCAAGCTACGGACATTTGGGTCCATTGTCCAGAGTTTTATATTAGAATTATTACCTAAGTGGCTTCTGGTTGACTGGTGTAAGACACAGTGGTCTTTCAGTGGTAAGGAATATAACCCTACTTTGAATGGTGTACCTACTAAGTAAAACAACATTGCGTCTCCGAGTCTTTATACCTCTACGCTGTGTGTATATAGCTTTAAAAGATCAACAAAGATCTAGCGCTCTCGTATGATAGACCCATTCACTCATGGTTCACACTGTAGCTGACGTTTTATGTTTTCACTCTTAAGGGGTTCAAGTGGATTTTACCGGGCAGTGTTCACCTGTATGGAAGCTATTGACGAAGTTGGAGGTGAAATGGATCATCTGAAATGGATTTAACGGTGACTGTTTAGCTGATGTGAACTATTATTCCTTATGATGTGGATTCATCTCTGAAAAAAAATGGATTCAATGGCAGTTGTACAGAAAGGGTAAGTACTTTATTTAAATCTTGGATTTTTTTTTCAGAAATATAAATATTCATCAGTTTCAACTGCTTTTTGTTGACTGGATTTAATTATTAAGAATTATATTGTTAAAGCCTTAATTGTCCTTTTATATATGTATATATACAAATCTGAGATTTGTTCATATTGATTAATTATTTGTCCTTGATATATAACGGCAAAAACTGAATTAATCAGTGATGGTATTAGTTGTATTTATGGCCATAATTAAGATCACTCAGTGTTTTCTTATGGTCTGGGTGAAAGTAATCAAATTACTTTCTGTTGAATGAAGTTAACAGTTTAAATGGTTAACCAAGGTTTCAGAATTTTGTGAATTTTTAGCCAAGAAGAAAATAATTATTTACATGTAATGCTGTTTAATAAAGTCACAAGATATGTTTTTAATGACAAGGTCCAAAATTAATTTAAATGAATGGAATTTCACCTAATTTACAAAATAGATTATACAGAGTTTTTTTTAACATATCAGAAGTGTATGTAAAGTGTGGTGACTAGTGACTGATGAGCTGAAGGATATAACATACATTTACTTGTATATACGAAATGTTGAATATAATTATCTTTCACCATGACTGCATTTCATTTTCTTTTATATGTGTTTGCCAGTTTAACAGTTAGCTGATTTTCATAAAACATACTCTATATGTCACACTCTCGAGCAAACGTAATTGATGTTGTGACACCCACACATAACGTACATGGAACGCAGTGAGGGTACACTTATCACATATATTTATCACATTTACATACATCTTATATGTATATCATGTCCTCACAGAGATTCTTAATTCTGACTTGATTAGCCCTCCACTCTTAACAAATGTGAAGCACTCCAGTTTGTAAGGGCTTAAAAGAGCTTGTTTCTGAAAGTGAAGGACTGTGATAAAAGAGCTTGTCTCTGAAGGTGAAGCTATATAAGGGTGAATTATTTATAAAACTGAGGACCAGGGCTTATAAAGGTTTTTGTTTTTTGAAAGTGATGGACAGTGGTAAAAGAGCTTGTTCCTGAAGATGAAAATCCAAAGCTTATCAGGGCATATTATTTATATGACTGAAGGTCTAGGGCTTATAAGGTTACATTTTCTGAAAATGAAGGACTAATGTTATTGGGCTTGTTTACTATGTTGAAAGACTAGGGCTTATAAGGGTATATTTTCTGAAGATGAAGGACTATGGTTAAGGGCTTGTTTACTATGTTGAAAGACTAGGGCTTATAAGGGTATATTTTCTGAAGATGAAGGACTAAGGTTAAGGGCTTGTTTACTATGTTGAAGGACTAGGACTTATAAGGGTTTTGTTTTTTTAAAGTGATGGACAAATGTTAAATAGCTTGTTTCTGCAGGTGAAGGACAAGGGGTTAATAAGATCTTGTTTATGAATGTGACCAACCAGGGTTAATAGAGTTCCGTGGTTATAAAGGTGAAGAACTCATTTAAAGGGGCTGGCCTATAAAGGACCAGGGTTTATAGGCTTTCCTATTGGGTCATAATTACCCTTTATGTCCAAGTCCTTGAAATTGTCAGTGACAGTAATTGGAAAATCATTGTGTAGACTGGATTGTCAGTTGTTTGACCAGTGGTCAATTTGTGGTCACTAGGACAGGCGCTAGGTGATGACCACTTACCTAAGAATTCTGTTGACTACAGATATTTAATAATCACGTATTTCATGTGTATTTCAAATTAATTTTAAATTTAATTTTTAAAGATACAATATCAAACAACATACTTGATAATTGGAGCATATATTTATGAAATTTGTTCAAATGTTTCTGATATACAATATACATGGTAAGTACCATGGATATGATTCCGAATTGATTTCCCTGTTGCAGATCGCTGATTTGATTTTCTAACATAACCTATATGTTGTAATCTTATACATCAGGGCTATGTAGTGAAATATGACATCATACCTGTACATATTGTAGATACCTGACTACCTACAATATTGATTGCATGCACATTTGTACAGGTTATACAAATCTGGGGAAGCCTTTTTCATTAATAGTGCCCGAGCTTTGTTTTGATCTGTACATACCTGATTTTGGCTGAAATTCAAAACTGCAATCATAATTGATTTTTACAGGAGCTGTGCTATTATTGGCTTTCATGACACAACTGTATTGAGTTCCTATACTGATTTATAATCAATATGAAGGAAATATTCTAAATTTATTTTCTGAAGATGGCAGAAAAAAAAATAATCAAATGATTTTCTTTATGAATGAGATCAATTTCAGTTGTAGTAAAGGCATTTTGATAATTTTTAAAAAAAATCTTGTAATCTAATTTGAAAATTTAACTTCCTTTGACATTCAGCCAATGAACACCTTAATTAAAGATTGGTTAGCTTAACATAGATATTAAATTTTCGTTGAAGAAATATATAGATGTTCAACAATTTAATTTGTGTATTTTTTGTTATTATTCGGTTGATCATGTTAAATCCCTCATACAGGTGGTTTTAATTATGATAAGTTACATTTGAAACTCATAAGATTGTAAGAATTGTGTCTCCCTTTTAATATGTTCCTTCAGGCCGTCTGAAACTGGGCCCAGTTCTTCAGGTATAACATACATTTGCCTTACATTTTTATATTCTTGACATTAAGTCATTACTTGTCCTCCAACACTGATATTTCTTGTCAGAATGATCACCAACAGTGCATACATCTTTTAACATGTATTTTATTTTCACTTCTTCTCATTTGAAAGAACAAGATAAGTTTTGAAACCAAAATGCTTCTGCATCAATGTACCTGAGCAAGAAATTGGATCCGTCCAAAATATTTAACTTGTGTTTATAAAGGTAACAGTTTTGTAACATACACAATTAATCCCCCATAGGGTACTGGGGTGACTATGGTTTTGTGTTGTGCTCTTCTGTCTTTACATTTGTCCATCTTGTCTGGGCTGCATCTCCTGTAGTGTACTTGTCACTAGAACTTGATGCTTTGGGCATGGACTCACCTACGTGATGCGATGTGCCATGTATCAGAAATAGGTCACCCTTGCCTACGTTTTGTCATTTGATTTACATTAAAGAAAAAAGGTAGATGTGTCATCATAGATCTAGGTTATTTTTTTTCGCAAACATTTTCGAACTTTTGGTCATGATTCAGAAACATTTTTCCCATTTTAAACTTCAAAATGGGATCTATTTTTAAGCAAACAACTTTCCCACAAATGTTAAATCTTAAGGTATTTGACTTCTAATGGTATGCAAACTGTTTCTGTAAAGTTAAGAACCGTACTGAAGCAGGGGTCAGTGTCATGTATGATTAGCTGATAGCTGTGGGTTGAAGGGATAAAGATTTTGACAGTCGCTGTGTGAATTAAGGGATAAAAAGCTCAGACAGAGTGTGGCAAGAGATTCCTGACTTCTTGGTGGCATTTCTCACCTTTGTCCTTTGAGTCAGGTTGAGTACCTGGTTTGGAGGAGATAGAAATACTTCCTTTGACAATAAAACCAACACTCTCAGTGATGTGATATAAAGCACCTTCTGTCCTCAGCTCTTACCCTACAGTTACTGTCTTCTAACTTAGTCCCCTTTACCTCCCACACCTTGCTCCTCGTTAAAGCTACAGTTCTTAATCACAAACAACACTCACTGACCACCAGTCACATCTCTAGTCAAACAGTTTAACACTCAACTGTTGTTAAAAACAACTTCCATTACCAATTTACATCCAGCTCTCACCTGTCTGTTGACATTTGGTCTGTTTTCATCCTTGACAAAATGACATTACACCTGAAAGTTGTTGCTAAAGGGTAAACCAATCCCCCATTGTGTAGATCCATTCTTTAGGTACTCAAAGTCTTCATCTACACGCTCTCATCCTATTGTCTTTTCTCTTTAAAGTTTTGATACTGCTACAGCTTTTCTTCCTTTTTACATCTTGTCATAACTTTACCTTTTGATCTTGGCTGTTCATGTATAGAATGATCAACACTTACAGGCTGTTTATGACCGATATTGGACTCCAAATCCAAATGAAATGATTTATATTATAACCAAATCCCCCCAATTTGCAATTTACTCCTAAAAATTTCTTTCGCAAGAATTACTAAAAAATTTTTCCCAAAATAAGACAGAATACCTCATCCCAAACCAGTAAAATAAAAAGCCAACCTCTTCATCACTTACTTCATCACTCTTTTTTTTATCCAACCCTCAACCCTTGATCATTGATGCTCTATCTTATCCCACCTTTATTTCTCGCCACTTTTACAAAATAATCCAATCCCATTTTTTTTTGTTTTTCTCATCCACTGTTCTTCGTTTTAGTCCATTAGACCAGGTTTTTATCTCCCTTCACTCCAAATCGTAATCAAAGGTCAATAAAAGAATCAATATTCGTTGGAAAGTGTGAAAACATGTAATTGGTACAGATCAAACCAACAATGAATGTTTTCTTCACCAATAAATCTGACAGTTTTAGGGGATAAGAAGTCCACAATGAATAACTATGCCAAAATTCTTTACAGTCATTGATCTGTGTGTCACCCGGTGGTCAGTCATACAGGTGAGGACAATACATGGACTCTTGCCCCCTCTCACCGTTAATGACCACTTAAGCACCCAGTTACCTGTGAATGACTTTGTTCACCCAAAGTGTGTATGTAATTTAATTTTAACTAAAAATTTCTTTTCCATAAGGGTCGGCCATTTATCTAGTTTCAATTCATCCTGGAGTTTTATTACAAGTCGTAAATCTGACGTGGGTTGGTCCGACCTTCCTACCTATATGACTAACTGGACATTTTTATAAAGGATTATCATACCCAGAGTTATGTACTGATAGGAAATTTTGGTTATTGACAAATACTGCCTGTCTAATAATTACTGGGTTTCAAAGTGTCAAGATCGATTTTGAAAAATATTGATTATCAATGATAAAGAAATTGTAGACAAATCCTTTTCATACTCTTAGGTTCATGCAGACTTGACCCAAAAT